AGACTGGCAGGATCTGGAGAAATGAGAAGCAAGTTTGACAGATCTGGTATTATCCATGTAAAGAGCTTGGAAATATTTAATTGACTAAATTATAATTGATCTCTTTTTGCATTTTCATTCACACATAACTACTAAACTTTCTCTTCATTAGGTATAATATGCTTTGCCTCTTTTTTGTTGGGTCTCCTTTTTACTACACGATCGGGAAGCTACTGGCTTGAAGTGTTTGATAGCTATGGAGGAAGCTTAACGTTGTTGATCATTTCTTTATTTGAACTGTGCGGTGTTGTATACGTTTATGGTCTGAAAAGGTAACGAGATTCTTGTATGTCCATTTCTTAGTACGCTCTTCAACTGAGACAGTATGGAATGTAAGAGTGGGAAGACCTCAGCCAGAGAACTTCACTGGGTCATTCTCTCTCAGCCCAACCAACTTTACAGGAATTTTAGGGAAAGGAGGAGCAAGAAGAGCTGTGCATTTTACCTTGAGTCCCCAAATGAAAGGCAGGATAAATACCTAGCAAATAAATATGTAACAAAAGCTTTCTCCTAAGATTATACTTGCTTTACTTGAATACACTTTTATTGTATTCACGAGATCTGTATACATGATCTTCGTGAAGTTCAGATCCAGGCATATGGTAAATCATCATTAACATCATGTCCTTTTGCAAAGGAAAGGCTTAAGCTAGGAATAGATGGCTCTTTTAAAGTTAGTTAGAGAAGGCTCTCTGGAAGCATTTGAGGTAAAGCATTTGAGGCCTTGCAACCACCTCCTAGTACAATGAAATGATCATCACTTTAACAAGGCAAAACACTTTCACACCTATGATGAGTAAGACCCCAGCTTTTCATTCGAGCAATTCTGTTTGTACAGGTAGTTCAATGGATTCCTAGGGGGGGAAAATCAGTCTTTTTTCACACTAGTTGAGATTTTCAAAATCTAGTTCACCGATTTGCAGTGATTAATCAATCCAAATTCCTCCATAAACTCTTAATATTTTTAACCACTCCCTGTTTGCATAAAAAAGCCTCAGCTTATTTACATGAAATCACCAAAGGAGATTTTTGCACTAGCATTGTGGAATTTTCTCACTAAAAACATCCTTAGACTTTATTTTGCCAATGTCTGAGTGGACATTACTAGTGCAGAAATGCTATAATTTAAAACGCTTCTGATATATTCTCACACTCCTTACAAAAGTAATACCTGGTTATGCATATACACTATAATTTTGAAACTTCTAAACCCAAGTTTTCGCACCCCCTGGAATATTGTCTCACACCCCCGGGGGGTGCGAGCACCCCCAGTTGGGAACCCCTGGTCTATAGTTTTCTGTAAAATAATGCTCTAAGCAATATTTTCCTTATTGGTATTATATACAACACGATTCCTAACAGAAGACAAGTTTCTCCAGTAGTAGTTAAATAACATTAGTTTTGAAGATTTGTATCTAATGTGCAATAAAACTGAATTTAAATTCATACAGGTCATTCACCTTAAGTTAGGGCTATTAAGCTTTTAGAATATATACACACATATTCTTACATATCTAGATCTACTGGTACTTGTAGGAAAATGTGGTGCACATTGTGAACATTGCTAGGGTTCATGAGAAGTGTTTTTTTCCCCCTATCACCACTGATTAAAAAAGCAAGTCTGCCAATAAGATTTGGTTAGTCAGCCTTTACTGCAGTTTGGTATAAAATGATTTCCATCAAGGTATCTTGTAACTAAAACACCCTGGAGAGGTATATCAAAGACTAACTTTGTGATGATATTGTAATAAGGGCCTAAAAAAGACTACACTCCTGTTAGTACAAAATAAACAGTTAATGCATTACATAAAATTGCTATATTGCAAATTAAGCTATTCCATTGTGAACTGAATTGTTAGTGACTATAAACCAATTTGACCACAGGTTCTGTGATAATGTAGAATGGATGACTGGAAGACCAGTAAATTTCTACTGGAAGGCATCCTGGCAGTTTATCAGCCCTGTACTAATGGTTTCAGTCTTTTTGAGCTATCTGTCTATTCAGCGGCCATCAACCTACAGTGCATGGAATCCAAGCTATGTATGTTAAACTTGTTACTTAATTTCTAGCTTTTATTTTTATGCAACAAAAATAAGGATTCAGTCAACACCATAGTATTGCATAAGCAGTTCCCCATAAAAAGATAGTGCTTAAAAATCAAATTAATCAGCCAACTCAGATTTAGAAAACATTAGCTATAAATGAGACTATCCCAGTGGTGGTGAACCTATGGCACAGGTGCCAGAGGCGGCATTCAGAGCCCTCTCTGTGGGCACATGCACCGTCTCCCCAGCCCGCCTCCTCCCACATCCCCACCAGCAGCCCCCCCGGAGGAGTCGCCCCTGGACGCGGCCCACACGAAGCAGCGCAGCCAAGGACATGGTAGCCAGGCAGTGGGGGACAAGACTCCGCCCTTGCACCGTCGTGTGCAGATGCTGCGGGGCATGGGCAGAGGGCGTGGCCACCATGGTGCTGCTGGGCTGCCTGGGTGATCTGTGGTGGGCCATGGAGGTGGTGGATGGCCCAGTGGGCAGGGCAGAGCGGGAACTGGGATGGGGTGGGGCAGTTTTTGGGAACTCGGTCTCTAAAAGGTTCGCCATCACTGGACTATCCAGTTACAAGATATGTATATCAAATTGGCAATACATTTCTTCTTTGTTTTGTTGCTTTCATTGTAATAGTTTACTATCTAGAATTTTTAGTTATGGTTGTTCTTTGTCAGCTGCTCCAAGATTATTATAGTCTGGAAGCAGATAAAGAAATAATGCGCAACAAAAATATATGTCATATATTTGCCCTCCATTGGCTGGGGGCTCTGCTTATTTTTATGGGATATCAGTTGAGAATGTTTTCTGTATATAGGCTGGGGTAGCAAGTATGTGCGCATTTATCACAATAAAATAAGAGTAGCTTATCATCTACATTTGAAGAACAACTTGCCTCTAACTATTCATTATTCCATGTCTTTGTAAAAACAGAGACGAATAATATGAGATCTCCTTGCAAGAAAAGCAAGGCACATCCTTTTGAAGGATTGTCAGCCTCTGTGTAGCCCCCCTTTGTACTACTACCATTCAGTTTTAATTTTATGCAATGTATGTTTAACTTATAGGAAGAGTTTCCTGCAAAACAGTCCAAATTTTATCCACGCTGGGTTTTACTCATCGGTGTCTTGCTTGTGGTTCTACCGTGCATATGTTTTCCAATTGGAGCCATTTTCCATTTTAAGGAAGTAATGCTGAAAAGGAAGGAGAAGCAAGCCCTTCATCCATGTGAAAGCACCGAAGGCAACTGATGCTCTAGGATTCTATCAGCTGATTCCAGTGATCCATAGTAAACCAGTTCAGGTTATCAACACAGAAAAAGTATATTAAGGCAATCTATGAAAATTAAAGAATACACATTGTCTATGTAAACTTCTGTAGAGTTCTTAGTGAAAGTAGCCAAAGTATTCATATAAACAGCCTTTATACAGTATTATATTCTGCAATGCTACAAGTTTTCAAGAATTTGGTTTAAACATTTCCGCATGTTTTTAACTGAAAAGGCTACCAGAACCCTGGATTTACAAAAGAAAAAGTGTAATAAAAACTACAGAGAGGAAGAGGAAAAAAAACATAAGTCAAGTAAATATATTCATACACAGTCAGTTCTTAAAATGACCACGTGGGTAGAAACTGATCAGTGGCTGATGAGATAATTTTTGTGAACCATGTTCAGGGCAGGACCAATGATCTAGTGTGGTTTCATTTTCCCCTTTGTGTTGCACTTTGGGAGAATGGAAATGCCCATCTCACAAGCTTCCCTTCTTGCTAAAGTAGGGTTGGACAGGAAACACGGAGAAACCGCAAACAAAAACACCCCCATTCAAATGTTTTGAATCTTCTATTGAAGCAAAACTCAAAACCTTCTGAGGGTTCTACCAAGTGAAATAATGGAAATTCAAATCAAGCTCCTTGCTATCTTGTTTTTATTGTAGGGCCATAAAAATGGATGTCATGATACTCCTTGTCAACCTCATCTAACCTACAGGGCAAAAATTAAGAGTCCGAACCTTTGCCCAAACTATCTTCCCTATATCCAGGGAACATATCTATTATTTGCAGAAAGAAGAACAGACCAGCATGGGTTGAAACAGAATTTTATATGGCAATCTAGCCAGAACTACAGTACATCAATTACTTTGAGATGGATTATTTAGTCCTAGAGATTGCTTGTTATGAAGAATAGGACAGTAAGCACCCATAGAGTTCTACATCTTCTTTAGCCGTTAGCCTGGCAATGGAGCTCCTTATTATGTCAGCAGTGTAGGAAAAAAGAGGATGATTTTTCTGATGTAATCTTAATGTCAGCAATAAAACTACAGCTGTATCTCGAACCTGTATGCTTGAGTGCATACTCCAGCAGGGTTATTCATCAGAATTTAAGGGAAGCAACTTCGTTTCGATACTGCTCATTATTCCATGTAACATTTAGTATTATTCTGATGAGGCTTTAGAGGAGGGAATATAGTTTTTGACAATCGTACATTACACTTTGGGCATTACACCAGAAGAGATAGCTGGTTCACCACTCCTGGATTACATTATTTTTTTCTTATTAAAAATGAAAAAACAACAACAACCAGTTCTAATTAAATACATTTTAAAAATTATTTTGTGAAAAACATACTTTTTGATGATGTAAAACTATTGCCTAAATTGTCTTAATCTCTCAGTAATCCACAAAATTAAGCCTACATCCCAGTTGTGCTATAATATCATGCAATGTTCTTGCTGTGAACTACTTATCAAGAACACTTGTTTTGTGCTTTCTTTCCCAAGGATGGGGCAAATATTTTACAATTCACCGCCAATAATAACATTGTACGTTTCACTAGAAGCAAGGCAAAGCTTTAAAAAAAATTAACTTGTTACATTCCAAATCCTTGGTAGAAAAAAAATCTCACATGGGCAAAAAAATTAAGCAAGTGGGAAGGCAAACGTGAAGAAGAATGTCGCTTTATAGAGCTAATCCAGGATGGCTTTGAAATCTTCATATAATGACGGGTTTATCACTTCAATAAGCAGTTGCATGGTAGTTTCTGGAATTTGCCGAGTCAACCGTAATTTGCCTACAAAGAAAGAGTAACCAATTACTTCTTTAGGCCAACAAGTGATTCTGAACAGATGTTTCCAGATCACCATGTACCTGGCTTTAGAGAAAAGCAGACAGCAAAGCTCTGAAAAAGTTCTATAGTCATCTTCTTTCTGTAGGACTAATTATTGATATCTTTCGAAATAATTAGCTTAAATGTTTAACAAAAAATAAAAAATAAAAAATAATGAATTAGATCACAAAAATTGCCAACAGCAGCGTGGCTCAACTCTGCTAAGAATAATCAACATCATTCATTCATTCACCCATGCATTCATTCTGTTGTTGTTATGCTTAGCTGCAGAGTCCATTTGTTTTGCACTGTGTTTGCTTCGGTTCACATAATGAAACTATCAATGCATGATGTGATAAATTTTGGTTTTCAGCCAAAATGTTCCAGAAGCTGATTTGGTCTCTCTCTCTCTCTCTCTCTCTCTCTGTGTGTGTGTGTAAATGAAGGAGTGCTAAATTTTGGTTATACATCGCCAAACTGTTGTTAATTCTTAGTGACCAATTAGATAAATTATCTCCATGATGATCTGTCCCTAACTTGTTCTTTTCAGGTCTTCCAAAGCTCTATTTACTCACTGCTGTAATTGAGTCTATCTGTCTTCTTGCTGGTCGTCTTCTTCTTCTTCTTCTCTTTCCTTCTACCTTTCCCAGCATTATAACTTCTTCAGAGAGTTAGATCTTTGCAGGATAATTTGAGTCTGGTTATTTGAATTAGAACTCATTTTTTTGATGATCTATTGCGTTGTTTTCTTGACTGTTCACAGTATTCTCAGGAGTCTTCTCTAATAACCACAGTTCAAAAATGTCAATACTCTTCCTATCTTGCACCTTTTCAAAGTCCATTTTTTATTTATTTATTTATTTATTTATTATTTTAATTTGTATACCGCCCTTCTCCCATAGGACTCAGGGCGGTTCACAGCATATTAAAAACAAATAATATACACAAAATACAAAAAATACAAAATACAAAAATACAAAAATACAAAAAAATAAACCCCGATAAAAGCCGAATTAAAACCAAATATTACCAGCTGTGTTTCC